AAAAATCGCAAAATTGTTCAGGGTTGGAGGTCGGACAGTGAATATGGAACCTCTGAAAGGAGGGATGAAAAGAGTACTGGGGGAGGAAAGAGGGGTTTGTAGATGTTAACGTTGTCTGATTTATAGTACACAAAAATTATAAAAGATCAAGACAGTCAAAACCCCAGTACAGATGGAGGAAGGGTTCAGAAGGCCTTGTTCCTAGGTGCTATTGGTAGTTGATGGTTGCTGACGGAGGCAGAGTAATTTCTCCTAGGGGATGTAGCCACTGGAAAGGTGCCCATGCTTTAGTAGATGGCTCCCCACTCAATACATACAAGCAGTACTAATAGGCCTCAGGAGGTTATTTTTCTTAGTTATGAATTAGGAAGGGGGATATATTGCAGGCTTCTGGGCAGAATTTGAGGTGGGGATAGATAAGATCAAAATACATTGTATACATTTTTTAAACAACTATTAATAGTCACATATATCCATGATTAATCAATATTCAACAAGATAAGAGTTGGGCTAAAGTACATATTTTTGCACTAAAAAGGATGGCAAAGCCAGAGATTTGCCAGTGCTTCTGCCTATTTCAGTGCTCTGCTGGAGTCAAGGTGACTCAATCCACTTATTAGTACCAGACAGTTTCCTGTTAGATGTAGGGAACTAAGCTCTTACAAACTATCCCTCCTTTAAATACTAGGTGTACATCCTAGACAAAGCTTAGGCAATAACAAACTGCCTGAGGGGCTGAGAAGGAGAGGGACAGCTTCTTTGGTGAAGCATTACAACGGGAGAGTATCTACAGGAATAGCTGGGTCTCCCACGTTTGGTGATGTTTTGAGGCCAGCCATGGGCAATGCTCTAGTTTCACTTGCCAACCACATTGACCAAAGCAACTTACTGGAGGAGAGAGTTTATTTTGTCTTACAAGAAATAGTCCATCACTGAGAGAAGCATGGGCAGGAACTCAAAAAAGAACCCATGGAGGAATGCTATTTGCTGTCTTTCTCACTCATGCTTAACTAGCTTTTGCAGACAGCCCAGGCACACAGGCCCAAGCAATGATGCTGACAGCCATGGGCTGGACCCTTCTACATCAAGTCATAATCAAGACAACCTGCCACAGAATCCACAGAAGAGCCTGATCTGTAGAATTCAATTGAGGTTGCTCCTTTCAGATGACTCTAGGCTGTGTCAAGCTGGCAATTAAGATGAACCAGAACAAGTGGAAAAGTAAAGGGGTATTGGAAATGTATCAGGCCCAGAGCAACCAGACTAGTGTGTTAGGGGTATGAAAATGGCAAATTCAGAGAAAGGGAGGTCAGCCTTTGTATAAGTCTCTTCTCTCTCATGACCCCCAAACTGAGCATGTACAGGCCAGAGTATATTAAACATTCAAAGATAAAAGTCTCAAATTTCTATTTAAACTGGCTTGTTCCACAGATGAGATGTAATTTTCAATAAGAGTCTAAACAAGTGGAGTCTAACCCTGCTTTTAAAAAAAGTTCACCATTTCTCAGAGCAACATCACAATCCAGAATCCCTACAATATAATATTCAAACCATCAAAGCACAGTGAAAACTATGACCTATTCTCAAAGACAGGAACAATTCAAAAACTTTAATCCTAAATTTACCCAGAGTGTTGGAAGGATAAGATACAGCAGTGTTCACACTTGTCCAGTTTTGTTCCGCATGGATTTTGTTACTCAGTCAATTCCAGTATGAAAACAGTCAATAGAAATTCCTGAAATAAACTATTCCTAAGTTTTAAGTTATATATATATATATATATAGTGATATTTTATTTGTACTGAAATGTGATTTTATTTGTATGTTAATAAATAAAGTTGCCTGGGGGTCAGAGCTAATAGCAAGCTATAGCTGAGCAAGGCATTGGTGGCGCACGCCTTTAATCCCAGCTCTTGGGAGGCAGAGCTAGATGGATCTCTATGTGTTCAAGGATACAGCCAGCATGGAGACACATGTCTTTAATCTCAATACCAACCATAAAAGACCTGGAGGTTTGTACAGATGGGCAGTGACTAGGAGGTCATGTGGTTGGGTTTACAACCAATGAGAAGGCAAAACAGAAAGTCTATATAAAGACAAACACACAGGAAGTAGGTCTCTTGGCTGAAGAGGATAGCTGCAGCAGTGAAGGGTAAGGCTCTTAGCTCTGACCTCTTGGGCTTTCATCTTTGCATTGGCTCTGTGTTTCTTATTTAATAAGACAGTTACTTCTACATATATAACCATCTGAGTAGCAGATGCAATTCTATGCTGTCCTGCTGCATCTCACTTGACCAGTGTATCTACATTGTGTATCCTACCCACTCACAAACTACTCAGAAGTCATTGTCATTCTCAAATTAACTGTGACAGTAATTTCAGTAGCTTAATGCTAAGTCCTGGACCCTACATCTTTCATCTGACTTTCTGTCATCACACAGACATTTTCATTACATTATCAACACAAAAGCAAGAAATGTGTGCAATGCACATGACATTTTGAGAGTGAGACTACATTGACACAAATTTTACAAGATTTTTATATAAATTTTATCATTGTCCCTTTCATAATATTGCACCCAGTTTATAAATTAAACTTTGTCACAATTATAGATAAGATATATATGTAGGCTCTAATACTACACATTGTCAGACATTAATTGAGGGGGGGGTGTCTCAGATATGTTCCCTGAAGATAAGAGAAACTAACATAAAGATCACAGAATGGCTTTTTAACTGTGCTCTCCATATGAACAAAGAAAAATATACTCATAATATTGAAAGTATGGAGGTGAGCTGTGGTGGTGGCGCACACCTTTAATCCCAGCACTTGGGAGGCAGAGGAAGGCAGACCCATGAGTTTGAGGCCAGCCCGGTCTACAGAGAAACTTCCAGGAAAGCCAGGGCCACACAGAGAAACTGTCTCTAAAAATTGATGATGACGATGATGATGATTATGTTGAAGAAGAAAGCATGGAGATTCTCAGCAGGGAAAAAGAAAACTAACAAAAAACAAACAAACAAATAAAAAACCCCAAAACCAAAAAACCCAAATAACAACCACTCTTCCCCCAAACGTCAATTCTAGGACTATAACATCTGAAATTAAAAAGTGCATAGACAGGGCTGGAGAGATGGCTCAGAGGTTAAGAGCATTGGCTGTTCTTCTAGAGGTCCTCAGTTCAATTCCCAGCAACCACATGGTGCCTCACAACCATCTACAATGAGATCTGGTGCCCTCTTCTGGCCTCAAGCCAAACATTCACTGTATATATAATAAATAAATCTTTTAAAAAAATTTTAAAAAAGTGCATAGACAGCCTTCCTACCAGGACAGAAACTACAAAGGCATTTACAGATCTGAAGTATTCTTCTGAATTCTGTAGGCACCTGCACTCACACGAACATACCCAAGCATACATACATACAATTAATGATAATGATAATAAATATTTCTTTTAAAAAGAAACCTAGTCATCAGAGAAACAATGGCAAGGGAAAATGAACATAACATACAGCTGGGGACATTTATTATTCATTGTTTCCCTAGACATGTGCCATACAGGCACTGAGACATTTATATCTCTAGAATGTTAAAACTTGGGAAGCCACTGAGGTTATATACTACAACTGTAATAAGACAGACCCATAGGGTAGAGGAAATTGGCTCAGCCAAGGCATGCACATACTGTACTCCTTATGAGTCAACTCGGAGTCTGCCTGAGGGCCTAGCAACAGGAACTGTCAGAGTTTCTGATCATGCCCAGCCAATGAGGGATGACCAAGCAATCAATACCACCAGATTGCGACACGACTGGGTGCTGGCAGGAAGGGATATAAAGCCTTCCCCCTTATTAAATACATGAGTCTGTTGTTTGCCTTCAACTGACTCCCTGTATCTGTGCAGTTGATGCCATACCTTTTCACCCCTTCCCCCAAGGGAGCCATTCATTAGGATCCAGCAACACTGCAACCACCTAATTTTAGAAATGAATTATCTGAGTCACACCTGATAATCTAGTCGAAAATCTAGCTGAAGCTGACGTCCAGTCTTACTTGCCATTAGTACTCTCCTAATGCCACTACTTCCCGCAGAGCCAACTCCAGACACACTGCAGACTTAGTACTGCATTGGCACATGATAGACAGTGAGAAAATCTCCCTTAAATTGTCCTCTGACCTCCGCAGGCACATCATGGTGTGAGCATACTGCTGTATGCACATGCACACATACAAACGCATCAACAAATAAATATCTTTCCATAGCATTTCCTAATACACTCATCCTCTTATATCTCCTTGTTAACCCATTGGTTACTCATAGAAGACAACTTCAGACTAGACATTTTGCTTCCATTTCACAGTGGGAGAGAAGTGCGGAATGAGGACAAAGAGCTGCTGTTCAGAGTTTGGAATCTCTGCCAGAGGTCAACTGTTAGCAGCAAAAAATAAAGCATGGCAAATCTGGACCCAAGATAAACACTGACAGGAGAGTTTCTTTGGTAATGAGGGTGGAATCTAGATGACACAGCATTTCAGAATCAATTGCAGGAGATAAACACCATCTCACCATAAGCTGTCACGGAACAAAACACTAGTGGCTGGCATTCAGTAATGTTTTCCATACTTCTGATTGTTCAGACATGTTAATTTTGTGACAATAAAAATGCCCCAATATAAATTCATCTAGATAGAAAGGGAATTGAGGATAAAGTAATTTTACCCCACTCCATAACATAAACATCCTAAATAAAATGTATATAATGAGATGAATGTATAACTGTGATTGTAAGCATGAAGTCAGCAATATAATCACAGTCCTCAAGAGACAAGTAACAGATTATGTAGAATAAAATAGACCTGTAAGTACATTTGGGCAAGGACTGGCATTTCATTTTACAACAGATTTCTTAGATACAGGAGACCAGAACATTCATAAGCTCACTCCATATTTCTACTTAAGGTCACAGAGTTGCCATGGAGGCTACCATTCCCCTTACCATTTCTTCAACATAAGGGTAAAGCATGTCTCCAAAGTATTCTGTAGCCTCAATTGGAAGCTGTGCTGGCAAATTGTCAATGGAACACATCAGAATTCCAGAGCCTTCAACACTAGGAGAAGCAAAATGCTTTATTCAAATGCACAAAATATTACTTGAACATTGTAAATTTTCCCAGCCATTACCCCATTACAATTTGTTTAATTGTTATTTATAGTCTTGAAAAACAAAGCATGTCACTATAAATAAGACTGCTTTCAAACAAATCCTTTTCTTTACTTGGCAACCCATCTCCTATTTAAATGTAACATATATGTATTTAAGCATTAAAATTTCAATGTGTTTTTTCCATTTCTTTTACTGTGTTTGAACATGTACCTACAAAGTTTCACACCTCCATAAAGAACTGAAATGCTGAGTACTTTAAACTAGCACATCAAGGTAAGGCAGCAGCAGCAGCTTTGACAAACTCACCTGTCGTGAATAATATGCTGATCTGCATCATACATGCAAAAGGGTCTCTCTATTGTAGTACACTCGGTCATAAAGTCTATAGATCCTCCTGTATCTGCTGAAATGTCACATATTGCCACCAGTCTGAAAATAACATCAACACTCACATGAGAGGGTGGAATTCTCAGGCCTTCAGGAAGACTAACAATGAATAAAAATAAAATGTGCTTGAAACAAATTGCATTGTGGATGTGAGATATTTTCCAGGCACTTAGAATCTTTCTCCTACAGTTCAGTCTTCAGAACACTGGGTTGTTCTAAGACACAGGGTTCTTTATTTTCCATGAAAAATAAAAAAGAAGGGAAGGAAGGCTTCCAAGTTGTTTTTATGTTTAAGGGGCCCTTCAAAGAAACTCACAGGAACAAAAATAGCACACTCTGACCCATACTTTTAAGAGAGATAAAGTTTGATGTTGCAATAGCAAATGCCCTGCCAAGAGGGGTTCCCATTCCTCATTTTCCAAACATGCAATGCATAGAAAAGCATTGCTTTGAACTAAGCACATCCAGGAGAGTGCCCACCTCTACAAGTCGTGAGGAGTGATCCCTATGCAAATATCTAGGAGTTTCCCCAACCAAAGTCCCTTGCTTTCTTTACTGAGGAAGACATCCCTTTGGAAATTATCCCAAGTGCTCTCCTTACTTACTACAAGCAAGAGAATTTGCTTCACTATCATTACAGAGCTGTGCTTATCAGCTTTGTGCTCATAAATGATCCAACCATTGTGTTCTGTTACCAATGTGCCTACTTCATCTAATCTCCTGTTACGTTGTTTGTTGTTCCTAGTGTTCCGTTGGCATTTGCTTCAGAGCAGCAGACAGCCCAACTACACTTCTCTGAACTTTAGCTTAGCAGAATCCCTGGTACATAAGATGTTTCACAAATATTTATTAATTAACTCATTCATTATTTAAGAACTAATTAAATGTCTATTTTATACCAAGTACTTAAGGTCAAGACAAAAACACTCCATCCCTGTTTTTTGGGAGAAAAAATTCCAGTAGGAGAAAGAGCAACTATAAACACAGGAAAACAGATGATTGTGAATTTCTCAAAACAAAGTAACAAACTAGAGAGGAATGAGAATAATTGAAGAGATTTTTTTGAGGAGTGGGCTTTGGAACCCAACGAGTCAGAAGTCAGTCTCGGGGGGATGGGTAACTGTAAAATGCTTCCAGGAGGTCAGGTCAGACTGTTACTACATCTCTGGCATGCAAGAACACTGTGTTCTTTGGTCCCCTAATAATGGTGATGCAGCAAAAACAAAACAAAACAACAACAAAACTTCATTTCTGATGACACATAGTCCTTACTTGTGTGGTAACTCAGGGCATCCTTCAATTGGAACACCTGAAGACTTCACTGGGGCCAGGAGACTCTGAGCATCCTGGCGAGTTAGCAGGCGAGGGGTGTTTTGCTCCCAGTAGATTCCATTAATTAAACAAGTTGTATAGGGTGCAATCTGTGAAGCAAGTTTCATAGTCAACAAAACAGGATACGGCTTGTTCTAATACCACGTACTGAAAGAACACTGATTAGAGCAAAGCCCGTGACAGATCATCAGTGGTGCTTCTGTGGAACATTTTGTTGTCCAGGTCACCCACTATCTTCTGAGGAAAAGATAATAGTTACCCACCGTCCACTGTAGAATTACTCCATGATAAGATATCAATCTAATAAATGCATTCATATTTTATTCCGTAATATATTGCACAGCTAGGAAAAATAAAATAGCAAAGAATCAAGTGACCCAGAACTCTATTTCCAGTTCAAATACTATAGAATGTAACACTAATTATACTCAACTCCTCTGAACACTATTTCTCTTACCCGCCAGATGGGGGCAGCAGTCCTCAAAAGAATGCTCTGAGGGTTAATCAGATAACCTCTCTGGGGAACTGCTTACACTTATATAGGTACATACACATGTGGTAAGTGGGTCACTGTCAGTTTCAGTACACATCCACATCTAATCACTAATATTTAGGGCTCAGGATAAAATTAGGGGCAGAAAACCAATTAGGAGCTCATCCTTAGGAAAACTACCTCCCATTCTTAATATAGTATTCCTTATTGCCTATGGCCCTTTGTCTAGTAGAATGGTCAGCTCAGAAATCATACATACAAGTAATACTAGACAGACTGAGCAGGTTGTATTTGCATATTTAGGCTCATACACACATTATAATTTATATATGTATATATGTATATATACACACATTTATATACATACATATAAATATACCACATACATACATAGAGAGAGACAGATATGAAAAAGAGGCCATGAATTTCATCAAATTACAGTACATGGAGGGGTTGGTGGAAGGAAAGGGAGAACTAAGCAAAATATATGAAACTAAAAAAGAAGTGATGACTCTTTCCAGCCCGCGCCACGCAATAGGCATCTCTTGGGACAACTGACACAAGCGCCACAAAACAGTGAGTAAGAGAAAGCTCTACCCCTAAAAGCGAAAGTATGAGCTGGGACATCCTGTTGCCATACTAAGACTGGTCCTTGTCGTATACACACAGTCTGAGTCCAAGGAGGCAGTTAAAAGTACCGTGCCCTAAGACTGGATGTGGGGAGCGTTTCCTGGGGCTCTGAGTGTTGTACTGAAAAAACAAGAATCATTGATGTTGTATCCAATGCATCCAGTAGCAAACTAGCCTGCACCAAGACCCTGATGAGGAACACTGTTCTCTTTGGCAGCACACGGTACCAACAGCGGTCCGAGTCTCACTGTGCCACTCTCCCTGGCAACAAGAGGGGCAAGCTGACTCCTGAGACTTTGCCTTAGGCAGATTATCCCTTTCTTCTTATCTATTCCTACCTTTTGGAATGGAATGTATACCATGAAGCCAACCTGCTATGGTATCTTAGAAATATCCAGCTTGGTTTCTATTTTATATGGCTCTGCAGCCAAAGATGTTAGACTTGAATTCCAAGTGAGACTCTGGAATTTGAAGTTAATTTGAGTTAAGACTCTGGAACTATTGGGGATGAAATGCACATACATTAAATGTGAGGACTTAAGTTTTATGGGACCAGGGACATAAGACTATAATTGAAATACAGTTGTCCCTTGAACTCATGCAAAGATTAATCAGCAAAGTCTTATGTTAATGGTATTTAGAGAGTAGAAGTTCCATGCAACCATGATATTAAGAGGTGGGGCCTTTTGGAAAGTGATTAAACTAGATTAAAAAAGAATGGAGTATCCATGATGAATCTTCATGGTTTAATTAGAAGGGGAAAGAGACTACATGGATAGAGACACACATGACCTCCTACGATGATGTGACGCAGCCAGTGGGAATCTATGAAAGAGTCTGAACCATGTTTTGTACTTGAAGCCTCCAAAATGGTAAACTAATAATCTTATTTCTTCAAGCCTCAGGTATTATACTTTAGTGTCAACTAAGATGCAAGCCGATGTTATGGTTACAATTTTTGGCAGCAGGAAGAATAAATCTTCGGAAATGTTGATCAGTGGTAGAGCACTTGCTGAGATGTGAGAACACTAGTTTCATTCCCTAATAATGAAAAAATAACCATTTTTTTTAAAAAACTTAGGACACATTTATGTTTAGATCAACCCTCAGAGATATTGCATTTTTGCCAATAGTGCTAACTAGTATAGGCTAAAACAAAAACAAGAATCTGAAGAAACTGCTTTAGAACTAATGAGCACATGCACTGTGAAATAGAGACTGTGAAGCCATGAACATGCTCACAGAAACCACCAAAACTACTAAGCAAAGACCACCTCAATCCCAAGTATCAGTAGGAGCCAACTACTAAATCCAACACTTTAAAACCAAAGGACTGGCAATAATTCTACACAAGAACCTGAAGAATCAAGGACCACATTCACAATTTCCCTCTAAGAAAACAGCTTAGCTATGGTGTATCATAGGAACCAAATCAAAGCCAGATACTCACATCTGTATTAAAACGACTTTTGTAGCGCTCGGGATATTTCTCATATTCTACAGGATCATACACACCATCTGTTTTCCTGACAAGATGATGATGGCGACTTATCACCGTCCCATACACTTTCCTGTGGTCTTACAAAGAAAGAAGAAATTAGTAAAGTGACAAATGATAACGATTTACGGTGATAAAATATTAACACAAAGACTATTGAAGACAGTAAAAGAGAAGGTCCTCCCGCACTGCTTACCTCCAGTTTTTGAAACTTCTTTTAATTCATGGGGCTCCACATACTCACAAGGTAACTCATTAAAGACTTCTTGGGCTCCCTGTAAATAGTGCATGAGAAAAAGAATCAAACCTCAGTAGAAACATGGCCAACAGATTTCCTGCAAGGATTCACCATTGCGTCGTTCCCCTTGCCCTGTCCTACAACCAGGATCACAACATAGAAGTACAAAAGGGGTGTCATCTGGTAGCTTACAAGTCAGCTTCGGTTTCACTTGCATTAGAAGAGACTCACATTTTAGCTGATTCATCAGGATATTAAGATGAATTTAGAAATGTGGACCTAGTACAAGTGCCTATTTACTTTTTGATTCACTCTAGAAATTATTTTAAGTGGGAAAACTGTCTACCACAGAAGGAAAAGATGCATGCTTTACAATTTAGCACTAACAGAGGTTCTATTTGTAAAACTTCTGCACTACAGACCTATTTTTCAACTAGAGGTTTCTCCAGGAGATTACAAATGCAGCCTCAACACCACTCCAGGAGGAACCATTAATCCCAATCTTTATCTTCCTTAGTGTGCTGGCTGGTCTCATGTCAACCTGACATACAACTTGAGTTATCTGAAAGGAGGATACCTCAATTGGGAAGATGCCTCGTTAAAACCTGGCTGTAAGGCATTTTCTTAATTAGCAGTTGAGGGGAGGGGCGCAGTCTATTATGGGTGGGATCATCCCTGGTCCCGGGTTCTATAAGAAAGCAGACTGAGCAAGCCAGGGGAAGCCAGTCATAAGCAGCACTCCTCTATGGCCTCTGCTTCAGCTCCTGCACCCAAGTTCCTGCCCTGTTTGAGTTCCTGTCTGATTTTCTCTGATGATGAAGAGTGATATGGAAGTATAAGCCAAATAAACCCTTTCCTCCTTAACTTGCTTCCCCTGGCTTGCTCAGCTTGCTTTTGGAACTCAGGACCACCAGTCCAGATTGGAAACACAATGGACTGTGCCCCCCACCCCATCAACACGAATTAAGAAAATTCCTTATTGACACAGAAGTAAAAACCCTAAGACACTTGGTTACTAGCAAGATTCCAAGCAGTTAATAAGTAAACCACCCATCACCTGAAAGTTAGTGCTTTATATCATTAACAAGGAGTTATCAAAGGAGGAGGAGGGAGGGGTGGAGGGAGGGAAGGCAGATGTAAAGGTAAAGGGGCACTTCAAACTTCTAATGCAGTGGTTCTCAACCTTCCTAATGCGGCCACCCATTAATACAGTTCCTCATATCATGGTGACCTCCAACCATAAAATTATTTTCATTGCTACTTCACAACCGTATTTTTGCTACTGTTATGAATTATAATATAAATATCTGAAATGCAAGATATCTGATATGTGAACTCTGTAAAAAGGTTGTCCAACTCCCAAAGGGGTCATGACCCACAAATTGAGAACCACTTCTCTAATAGATGACATCAGCTAGAAGCAAAGAAAATGCTTGGGCTATTACTTTTCTTTGCTACAGCAAAAACAATGACAATGACGAAAATATTCCCAATTGAATGGTCATTCATTCTGTTTGAAATGCCCATGAAATCTTCAGCATTTCAGATTGCTTGACAGAGAGGACAGGAGGAGCTACCTTTGATACGTTGCCAGTCCCCGTGAACACAAATGTTAAGGGTCCTATTGACTTTGGCATTAAACCCAGGGATATTTCATAGCCTGCATCGCGGACAGCCTGCACAGCCTGGCTGCTGTTCCTGTAGTTGTGAGCCATGCCAAGATGCTGGAAGCAAGCACACACAATCCATGTCAGTCCGCTAGCTCAAATGCGTTTCTAGGCTGAAAATGTGACGTGTTTCCAATAAATAAATAAAATCTCTCACCATAAAAGGTGTATGATGTCCCAAAGCAAGGAGCCTTAAACCCATTCCATGTAAAATATTGATCATTCCTGTCACAGAACCAGATCAATAAAAATACCATTAATTGAGTGGAGTTGACTAACAATGCACAAAACAAATTCTGTTCATAGGCATTTACCAGAAGGAATGATACATTTTTCTCTTTGTTCATTTTAAACCTGCTGGGTACCCTAAGGAAGCAAAGATGATAACATTTCAGATTCAGAAGGAACCTCAAGACATCTTGTCTATGTCCTCTACTTTCTACTGTCAAATACACTCATCCATCTACATCCTCATCTGTTTGTTTTTTTTTTTTTTTCTAAAACTGGCCCTGATAAGAAGGAAGAAAATCCCTCATCTCATCAAAGGCTAATTTCTCCTCCTGTCTGCAGGTCCCAAAATGTCCTGGCCCTCCACAGAAAGAAATTTATCCTTGAATAGCTCCCTCATAGTTTTTCTCTGTAGGTCCATTCTTACCAGTATTCTAACATACTCCCGCCTCCCATACCAAAAGCAAGCAAACAAACAAAAACAAAGTCACCATTGGCCTAGGGATCCTAACATCACTAAACTGGATGGAATTTTCAAATAAGGATTTACTTGTCAGAATTATTCTTGGGCAGTTAGACTGTCTCTTGGATTGACACTCTAGGCCCCTCAGTATCTCTGACTTGAATGTGTCCTTCCTTCATCCTTCCCTTCCTATCTGATATACTATGTAGCCCAGGCTACTCTTGAACTCACTATGTAGCTCAGGCCAGCCTCAAATTCCAGAGTCTCCCATCTCAGCCTGAAGTGCTAGGATTTCTAACAGGCACAGCCATACCCATGGCCAGAATTAATCTTACTTTCTTTAAGCACCTCTCTGTGTATATTATATTAGCACCCTCAGGATTCTCTTTGGAGCTCCATTTTCTTCATATCTTCATTTCCCCTTAGGCAATCTCATCACATACTAAATTTAAGTATTTTTTATATATGGATGTATTAAGTATTTTTTATATATGGATGATCCCCAAGTCTGTACTTCCAGTAGGGATTCTTCTTTTGATTTCAGGATGTTGCCAATCATCTTTTCTATGCCTTAAGTGGGGTGTCCTTAGACATCTAAAACTCAGCATGCCTCTAGCAATGACCTCATTATCTATCCTCCCTTTGTTTATGGGACTACAATCTTCCATGCCTTTCCCAACACCTGTGGCACACACACAACTCTACCCAGATTTCTTTTATCTTTTTGTTGAAGTCAGCTTTTAAAAATAAATTGTTTATACGAAGTAAAATGCAATTCAAAATGTATAGTTTAATAACTATTAACAAATAGTCACAACCGTGTATCACAGATCCAAGATGGGAATTATTGCTACTGTTTGTATAAATTAGATTCTTTGGTTTTTATGTAAATGAAGTTGTAAGCACATATTCTGTTCTTTCATTTCAACTAGCATATTTTTTAGATTTACATCAATACTTTTGCCTTTTTGTTACTGCAGTTTCTCATTTTATGGTTATACCATCATCCATTTATCCATTTCTTTTTAAACTGACATTTGTATTGTTTCCAGACTATTACAAATTTCTGTAAAAAATTACTTTTTGTGGCACATACACACAATATGTTACATTGCATTACACATATACAATATGTGTCTAGTTTAAATGGAGTGATATATGGGGGTAATAATGTTTCCCTCATTCCCTATCTAACAAGAACCCCAGTACCCAAAACAGTGTTGGCTATTGCCACTGCCCTTGGTTGCAAGCCAGAACTTGAAAGTAAGACTCTATTGCTGAAGACACCATCTACTTCAGACACAGGATTTGAAGGAATCAAGCTGGAACTAGCCTAGAGAGCTCTTCCCTGAGGACTAGCTCTGATAGTATGGGAAGGTGCCATGCAAGCTTCCAAGAGAGAAAAGCAATCACTAGTCCTACCCAGCTGTAAAGTCTGCAAACCACAGCAATGACTGGCCCAGCAATATATTCCCAATGGTTCAATAGTTCACTTTTATCTTAAGAATAACCAACAGCTGTCTAATTGAGCTTAAGGGCTACTCAATCGGAGGGAATGTATGCCTGAAACTGTAAAACTCTCCAACTACCCATGGCTGAACAGTTTAGAGACATTTGAAAAGACCTTATTGCTAACATTTTCTAAAACCAATACAATTTCTAACTATGTTCTAAATACTTTTAATTATCCTCACTAATAGTAGTTCTCAATCCTCATCAAAGAAGCTTTTTTTTCCGCAGATAAGAGATTATTATGGAGATTCACAATTGGCCAAAATACAGAAAATGAGTGACCGAGCTTTGGTTGATACATCTACAGTGTAACCCCTACATTTAAGACTCAAGAAAAATTGTGGAACAACCAGTGGGGTGGGGCAGGTCATCTGCTGCTAAATAGTATCTTCTAGACATGGCAGGAAAGCTGTATTTATCAAGTATCATTTATATAGTTGTTTAAACAAGACCTGCACAGTGACATGCACCAGTTGATATGCCAATGTTATGAGAAAAATTTCATAAGATCCACCCCTAGATGAGGAACCACAGGGAACCAATGGCTGCTGAGAGAAGAGGAATAGGTTTTCTCCAGGAACAAGCTTCCAGATAGGTCATCCAATCCCAAGTGGTCAACCCAAAATGCATGTACATACAAGCAACACTAAACTGACTCAGCAGGGTGTGTGTGTGTGTGTGTGTGTGTGTGTGTGTGTGTGTGTGTGTGTGTGTGTGTGTTAATAATAATTTAAGAAGAGGTCATAGATGCGAGAGGGAGTGTGGGGAATGTGTGTGTGTGTGTGTGTGTGTGTGTGTGTGTGTGTGTGTGTGTGAGATAATAATTTAAGAAGAGGTCATAGATTCAAGAGGGAGTGTGGGGAACGTAGAAGAGGTTGGAAAAAGAGGGAGAGGTGGAAATGATGTAAATACAGTACTCATGAATGAAATTCACAAAAAAATAAATATTTTAAATTAAAGTAAAATTCTTTTTGAGTCTCACTATGTAGCCCACACTGGCCTCATATTCATGACAATCCTCCTACCTCAAGCTTCTGGGTGCTAGTCTATCACAATAAATTTGTTTCATGAAATGTTTTCCTTTTCTAATGAGTAGAATTTACTTTATACTGTAAAATCAATCTTTTCTTGCAGTGGTTTCAGCCATTTGTATCTTTTAAAGGTTTTTCTAATTCATGAGTTCATCAAGCTCACTAGCCTTAGTACATTTTTTTGTTCTTTTAATGTTTGTAGAGGAGATTACTATGTATTTCTTCTCTCTGTACAGTGCCACCTCCCCTTTTTCTTCATCTAGCTAGATTTTTTTTTCAGTTTTATTACACTTGCCTAGGCTTCCCTGCTCCTTACTTGCTTAAATAGGTTTTAAGCATCCATCAAGTCTCAGCTTCAGATGTGCTAGCTCAAGGACAACCCCCCCAACAGCTATTTCCAGCTCAGTGCCCTTCTTCTAGCAAATATCATTGTCACTATACCTGTGTGTAATCTTGCCTCCATCATTGTTTAAATAAAAGCCATATCCTATTCACAGGCATGGTGTTACTTCTGAATCAATCAGCTTATTTCTGATGTCTTCATTTTCTCTACAGAGAACACTCACCTGAGTAAGTTCCAAATGACCTGGAACAGTAGTCAACAGGGGCTCACCCCTCACTTGGTCAAGAAGATTCCCCCTCCCCTGATTTTCTACTTATGATATCCCATTACCAAACAATAACTTTGTTTCTCCAACAGGATCATCTAAAAAGCAAGAATCTATTCCTAGGTATTAACCTTTTGCCTGCTTCCTTTTCTTGTTTTTTGTTTTACCAGTAAACATAGGAAAGAGAAAGCAAACTTGCACTGCTGAGACACACTTAGAAAGCTACACAGAGCCCTGTCATACTTACCTGCCACACCTGCCCATTGTCCAAATGCCACTATCCGAGACCCTCTGTGATCCACCATTTTCTCATAATCAATGAGTCGGATTTCCTGAAGAAAGGGAAAGAAGAAACTGTTGCAACCAGGCAAATTCAGCTAGTGAGTCACACATAAAGAAGTAAAAATTTTATATATTTTTTTTCTCTCTTAGAAAATGCATGTTGACTTACTAACCCATTATCAGCAGGTGCACCATCAAATGCTTTGAAAATGCTTGGTCACAAACCAGATGCCATCAGAGCTAAAGGAATGAACTGAGTGTTAAATATCCTTTGAAGTAAGGAAAGGAAATAATGGAGGCAAAGGTTTCCTTTAAGCCATCACGTTCCCAACCCGCCCAAGACCATTTGAAATACACCTATGTCCCTACTTATCGTCAATCTTCTGGTTCCAAAGAAAATACATCCTTCCTAAGATGAATCCCTGTGTGTGAGCAAATCCTGGTTCATTCAGAGTCCTTCCCAGTCAATCTTCTTGAACTATTACCTCTTTCTTGCATATATATTCTTCCTATACATTGCTCCTCAGTCATTTTTAAATATCCCTTTTTACCTAAAAAATAGTAACAAAAAGCCCAACACCCTCTTTCCCTCTCTCTCCTCTCCATTTTATTCCCTCTTTATCTCCCTTCTCTTTCCATCTTTACATTTCTTTTCTTCATCTTTGGCAAACACAAATTCTTTCTCTTTATTCAAAGACCTTTCCTCTCTCAGGAAAGCCCCATTAATGTATTCTTAAAAGCTATGTTATAATTATATAATACTTTTATCTCTTCAAAGATAATAGGAGTCAGGGGCCTGGGGTACACTGCTAAGTAGAACACCAAGTGCAAGGTCATGGGTTGCAACTCCAGTACTGGGAGAAAAATTGCACAATTTAAAATCAAGTTTATAAATGTAATGATATGTAATATATATTCAACTCTGAATGACTTGTTAGCGTGCTGCCCAAAAGCCATCCTGCTGGGTCTGTTTTTATTAATTTTTTTGATGAGGACCAAAGGTACATATAACAAAATGTCCATAAAAGAGTTTATTTGCTTTAAAGTGGTTTTGAAATTAACAGGAACATATCCTATCACCCCATATAAAATCCATTTCCTCCATTATTTGTATTGTTGGTAAACACAACCCTCTGTTCCATTCTCAGATTCTATATCAAATGTCCTGTCATCCTTACTGCAGGCCATAGGCCTTGGCTGTGATCTGTATCTCCACTCACTCCCACACTCATGCAACCTCCCCACTATATACACCGCCGGGTCTCTGATAGTGCTGGTCAGGAAAAGCTGCTCTCCTAGGCTACAGACTCATTTCCAACATACCATCAGCTTCTCTGACAACTGTCAAAATGTAGATATCCAACAAGCTAAACCCCTATGCTACCAACATGGTCATCCTAGCTTGCTCTCCTCATATACAACATAGCCAGCGTGGGAGGCCAGCTCTCACCTTTTACAGGGTTCCTATGAGGAGAAGAGAGGCATAAGGAATTTATAGATAGAAAGATAGCAGAGATGAGACAGACAGAAACACAGGATAGCTTTGGGAGGACCTGGTTCAAAATCCACCAGCCCCTTCTGGCTCTTCAAAAGGGCTTTTTATAACAATGCCAAGGGGTGGAGCAAAAGACACACACACACACCCTGCCTTGCTAGATCAAAGCATACTACATAGCCAAGTGTAAACCTTTCCAAATACCGGGTAACCACACACATGGTCAAGTCATCCCCTTATGCAGCCCTGCTAGATAAAGCAAGCTCAGATCTCACTAGAAAACCTCTGTGGGCTCCCACAAACCATCCTAGCTTGCCCTCCTCATATACAACATGGCCATCCTAGCTTGCCCTCCTCATATACAACATGGCCATCCTAGCTTGCTTTCCTCATATACAACATCCTAGCTTGCTTTCCTCATATACAACATGACCATCCTAGCTTGCTTTCTTCATATGCAACATGGCCATCCTAGCTTGCTTTCCTCATATGCAACATGGCCATCCTGGCTTGCCCTCTTCATATACAACTTGGGCATCCCAGCTTGCTGTCCTCATATAAACACTCTCAGTCTATAGTGGCTCTTCTCAGTTGCTCAAGCCCATGCCCTAATCACTGCTGACTTCTTTCCTCAAATCCCACCTTCCTTTAATCAGGGAATGTTGTAGGACTCACCTCTACAATGCAATTAGGGCTCCCCAAACATCAGAGCATCTACTCTACCACCCAGGAGCCAGCCACCCTCATCTATTGCCTATAGTCTGACTGCCCCTAGACTAAGTCATCTGATTAGTGTTGCTTTCCTCCTCCCAACTCCAACCATTAGCCACATAATAGGAAGACTAAACACACTAGCACATGACCCACTCTACCCACCCACTCACAAAGACCCTTGGTTCCTTTTCTTTACGTGCCTGTCTGTTTGGAAGACTCATCACCATCAGACATGGCTCAGTCCTTTGTTTCCTTTAAATATCTTCCCAAATGCCACCTTTGGGATGAGGCCTTATCAACAGTTGCACCGCCCCCTTTTGGTGTCCATGTCCCCTTTTCCTTCAGGACCATATCTCTTCTACCAAGTATTTCCTGGTGACATAGGCTGCCTTCTTTGCTTATCTCTATCTCCTCCCACTGAATGTGGCACCAGAAACACAAGGGTAATGGCTATTTTGCATTTTCATGCTGGTGAGTTGTTTCAGACACATTGTAGGCACTCAAAACTGTTTTCAGTCAATGGGCAGTCCCATTTTAAGGAGCTACTAATGTTTTCACAGTATTTAAACCTCAAAATATACTTCCTCTCTTATGACTAGTAATGAATGTAAAAGCATTTCTTGTCCTGTTCTTGTGCCATAGAGCTATATAACCTCAGTTAAGCTACTGTACCTCTCTGAGCTCCACGTGAAAAACAAGCTGTTAGTCTGCATGATCTCTGAGGCTCTCTCCAGCTCTGGAATTCTACATGGTGGTATTTACACTTAACCTTATAAATTAGTGACGGCTTGCAGTGGGAGGGGGGGGAATGACAAACTTTTACGCTTCCATTTCAGAATATGTAAGATAATGAGATGCATTTTTTTTTTTTTTTTTTTTTTTTTTGGTTTTTCGAGACAGGGTTT